TGTCTGTGTCTGTGTCTATTCTCTCCTGCTGCCTGGTTGTGAGTGAGCCCACCCTCTTGTGTCTCTCTGTCCCTCTCGTCCCCTTCCAGCTCCTGGAGCTCTTTGACAGTGAGGACCCCCGGGAGAGAGACTACCTGAAGACAGTCTTACACAGAATTTACGGGAAGTTCCTGGGACTGCGGGCTTTTATACGAAAACAGATTAACAATATTTTTCTACGGTAAGCAGTGGGGGTGGCCGCTGTCGGTGTAATGATGAGTGACGTCACTATGGCGACAGCCTCCAGCTGCATCTCTGACACCTGCCTTCCAAACTCTGCCCCTGCAGTTTTGTGTATGAAACTGAGCACTTCAATGGGGTGGCGGAGCTGCTGGAGATCCTGGGCAGGTAGGTGCCCGTGTCCAGCAGGGAGATGCTGAATGCCTGGCCCCCATAAGGCAGGAAACTCTAACTTACCGTACACTGAGTTTAGTCAATTTGCTGAGTAATGCACCTTAACATTTTAGTGTAACATTTCTACTGCGAGACAGTCGTTTTTGTTTTTTTTCCCCCTGGTTTGCACTGTTTTTACTTAATTTCAGTCTTGTGTCCCTCTGCCAGTTTTATGAGATCATTTAGAAGGTACAACGTACCTTCTGTTCCTCGCATGGTTCCTCAAACTTCACCATGCCTCTGGTCTATAAACCCTTTAGACAGCACAGCTGCTGCTCTCCTTGCCGTCACTGGGCAGGGCCCCGCAGGGTCGGCTTGGATCATGTGTAACTGCGACTGACAGGCGCTTCCTCTTGCTCCGCCCCCTCAGCATCATCAACGGCTTCGCCCTTCCCCTCAAAGCAGAGCACAAGCAGTTCCTGGTCAAGGTGTTGATCCCGCTGCACACCGTCCGGAGCCTGTCGCTCTTCCATGCACAGGTGGGCCGGGCCAGGGGGGGTGGGGTGGAGCTTCCACTTTACCTGGGGCCTCTGCTCTGTGAAAGGGAAGCTTGTTGGAATTTGTCGTCATAAATCAAATGGGCTGTAGGTTGTAATTCTTTTTTATATCTCTTCCAGTTGGCCTATTGCATCGTACAGTTTCTGGAGAAGGACCCAGCACTAACAGAGCCGGTAATTAGTACGTCATGGAGCAGACACATTATGTAGGAAACGGGCTGGATTTTACAGTGCTGACATGCTTCTGCTCTCTTTCAGGTTATCAGAGGTTTGCTAAAGTTCTGGCCAAAAACATGCAGTCAAAAAGAGGTAATGATCTGATATGTTCTGCGGTTTTCGCACTTCTCCCTGAGAAAAACTATGTCAGTACTCTGGGCCTGAGCCTAGCAGGTCCCCGTAGACGGTCTGCGGGCCTAAGCCTAGCAGGTCCCCGGAGACTACCTGCAGGCCTGAGCCTAGCAGGTCCCCGGAGACTGCCTGCGGGCCTGAGCCTAGCAGATCCCCGGAGACCGCCTGCGGGCCTGAGCCTAGCAGGTCCCGGAGACTGCCTGCGGGCCTGAGCCTAGCAGGTCCCCGGAGACTGCCTGCGGGCCTGAGCCTAGCAGGTCCCCGGAGACTGCCTGCGGGCCTGAGCCTAGCAGGTCCCCGGAGACTGCCTGCGGGCCTGAGCCTAGCAGGTCCCTGGAGACGGTCTGCGGGCCTGTGCCTAGCAGGTCCGCGGAGACCGCCTGCAGGCCCACTGTGTTCACTAGGGTCTCCCCTAACCCCGCACCAGGTGATGTTCCTCGGCGAGCTTGAAGAGATCCTGGATGTGATTGAGCCCACACAGTTTGTCAAGATTCAGGAGCCTCTCTTCAAGCAGATCTCCAGATGTGTCTCAAGTCCACACTTCCAGGTGAGCCCCCCCACGTGGCCTGGTTGCATTTGTGATCTCTGATCCTTTCCCAAAAAGCATAACTGTTTTTGGAGAGTTGTATGTTCCTTCCCTTTTCCTGGAAGATATATTTTGAGTCTGTGACAGGATTGTGTCTGCTCAGTACAGGACGAGAGAAGCTCTGGACATGTAGCGTGTGAGAAAGTCCAGATCTAAGGTCTGATGTCGTCCGCAGGTTGCTGAGAGGGCCCTGTACTACTGGAACAACGAGTACATCATGAGTCTGATCGAGGAGAACTCGGCTATGATTCTGCCCATCATGTTTGCCAGCTTGTACCGCATTTCCAAAGAGCACTGGAACCCGTGAGTGACCTCCCTGGTGCTGAGTCGCTCCCTAATCCTTCCATCCCGGCCGCTTGAATTGGAAGTGTGCTGTAGCCTTTCCATGCTACTATTTGGAAGAATATTTAGTTCTTTCTTCTCTTTGCTGAGTTTTATACTCACTCTGTGGTTTGCTGTTGTTCACATGCAGGGCTATAGTAGCCCTCGTCTACAACGTGCTCAAAGCGTTCATGGAGATGAACAGCCTGCTGTTTGACGAGCTCACGGCTTCCTACAAGTCTGAACGTCAGCGGTAAGAGCAAGTGCCCGTATGACCTCCATAGCGTCAGTAAAAATCAGAAGGACGAAGCTTTGTGTTTCATTGGCTGACGTGTCGGCCCAGGCGTTTCCGAGCTGTCAGCCATTCAAAAACCTGTAAAGTTGTGGTTAGTGGGCAGTGTTTTGGGCAGTAGAAACCAGGTTGACTCCTTGACAGTATCCCTCCACCCTCCTGCAGCGAGAAGAAGAGGGAGAAGGATCGAGAGGAGCTGTGGAGGAAGCTGGAGGACCTGGAGCTGAAGAAGGGCGTCCAGAGCGACGGCATCATACCCACTTAACAGCGGCGGGTGCTGTGCTGTGCAATGGTTAGCCCCCCCTACTCTGCCCGCCCCCAGGCAGGTGGAGGACACCCCCCCCATCGTGCGACTTACTTTATGGTAGATCCAAACATCAGTTTCATTATTTCAGCCACAGTGTAAATAACTTTTGTCCTCTTTTTTTTTTTTTTCCTCCCTCTTAAAAATATTATGCTAAACGAAAGACGTAAAAGGACAAAACACGTAACAAACGGAAAAGTTTTGTGGCAAAAACAGACTTTGGACTGTAGAATTTGAACTTTTTTTCTGTAAAGGAAAAAAAACCACAAAAATTATTTTAGTAAGCTCAGCCCCAACCCTCCAAAAAAAAAAATTCTTGCACCAGCCCCCTCTGCTCTGATGAGCACCTTGTACATTTACCTCATTTGGGAACTGGGACCCCCTGGCTCCAGAGGGCACAGGTGTGGGCCAGATGGGGCGTGTCCTACACCCTTGGACACACCCACTCCTAGGACTCCTCCCTCTCTCCTTCCTCCAGCATGAAAGATCTGCTGCCAGGTTCTCTACTTCTTAGCAGAGCAGGACCCATAACAGGAAGATGGTTCTTCACCCAGAGGACATCATAGCTCAAGAACCAGGTCCCAGGGGGACCTCAGGAGGAACAGAGAAAACCAAAAATGAAAGTTAAAATTCATCTAAAGAACTTTTGTTTTCTGTCTTCACTTCAATTTTTTGAGTTACATCACTGGAGATCTGCCAGCTGTGTGTTCCTGTGGGTTTGTCAGCATGGTCTGCAGGCTCTGCTGCTTCCAGGCCGTCAGTAACCTGTGAAGTTGACCTTTGCAGGTGGAACGGTGACCTGCAGCCCTTTGAGGTTCTGGGTTCCTCTGGGGAACCTCGAGTATTGAGGGGTGGAACGCTCCATATCTCGGTTTTCCATAGTATTAAGATTCTATAAAATGTTATTAAATGCAGTACACTGATATCTTTTCTCTTAACAATTTAGACTATATTTTAATAAGAACAGTTCATAAGAGGTGAAACGAAAGGAGCCCTCCTGGTATTCTCGCTGTTATTTTTTTACCTTTTTAAAGGGTGGGGGTGTGGTTGAGGGAGGGGCTCAGCTCGGCGGGGTCAGAGAGCTGCCGGAGAACTCCATGTTGGATCCACTGTACTGTTCGCATTGAGCCCTTTCACATTCATTGAGTGCTTAAGGATGGGCCAGGTATGAGAGCATCATTTAAAAAGGGTTGGATAAATAAGGAAAAAAATGTCTAATTATTTTAAAAATAAAGAAATATTAAATTAAACTTGTTTTGTGATAAACCATTCAGCATATTTGCTTTATTTTGTAAGGGTTGTGCGTGTGTGTGTCCGAGACCATGTTCATTTTGTGTGTGTCTGTGCTATGCGTGTGTTCATGTGTTTGTCTGTGTATGTGTCTCAGTGCTATGCGTGTGTTCATGTGTTTGTCTGTGTATGTGTCTCAGTGCTATGCGTGTGTTCATGTTTGTCTGTGTATGTGTCTCTGTGCTATGCGTGTGTTCATGTTTGTCTGTGTATGTGTCTCTGTGCTATGCGTGTGTTCATGTGTTTGTCTGTGTATGTCTCTGTGCTATGCGTGTGTTCATATGTTTGTCCTTGTATGTGTCTGAGTTCCCGTCTTCATCAACTTAGGGTATGGTGGTTTCCATTTGCCCTGACTAGTAACACTCTCAGTTGATGGACACATCAACAGTGATCCACCTGTGCAAGACACACTTCAGCACTTTGAAATATATTTTTTCCACGGCTACTGCATTATAGTACAGCTGAATTGTCTTTAAAACCACAAAATAGTTGACTTATAGTTGGCTGCTTTAAGGACAAAGTGGAATCATCTTTCTGTCGCTGATGCTTAGTGACGATATCAGAGCCCAGCCTCATGTTACAACAGTGTGTTAACATCAGGAATCAGAACAAAGTGTATCTGGAGAATAATGTATACTCACCTGAGGAATAACTAAATTATAACCCTTTTCATGTTTGAAGTGTAGGTTTTTATTACACATTACTTCTATTTTTCCAAACAAGCATTAATATTAAGGTAAATTAGTTCTTGTTTGATCTTGATTGCTTTTTGGGGCACACCGAGTTCCTCCTGTAGTCTTCTGTAGGCTTACTCTCACTTGACCACAGGGTATGAATGTTTGCGCATGACTGAATGGGACTCTGGGTTAGGACTCTGTGCCTGTTATTGGACAGTTGCCATTTCAAATCCTATGCCCAGTGGACTAACCAGTATTTCCACTGGGCCCTTGGGCGAGGACCCTAACTCTAAAGACTGTCACCTGAGCTGGCATGGGCTTCGCCCCTCCCCACATATCGCCCTACCAGGGTCGAGGTGCAGAAAATGGCTGGGTGGTGGTTGTTACCTGCTGTAACACTAGGGGGCAGCAGAGACACACCATGAGATTCACGTAACTGAAATGTAAAATATTTTTAGCTTCCTGTTAAAATGATTAATACTTTAACATGATGTGTGTATGTGCACATGCTATTTTCTGTTCAGTATTATAGCGCAATTGTTAGAAATATAAACGTTTGACACTGGTATGGTCTGTCACTTGGAGAGAGGGAATCCTTTAAATTTGCGCTTCAGCAGTTTAACGCCTTCGAGTGCTGGCATGTAGTCGGCGCTCCCCTTCACATCGGGCTCATTAGTGCCAGAGGAGTCGAGCTGATTGGGTGACAGGCTGCCGTGGCGACTGTGCTGTATTCTTACAAGGAAACTGACCTCATCTCCGTAGGCGAGACCCTGATCCTTTTATGTTGAACGACAGGCCTGAACCCACTACTTCTAATGACTAGACTCCTGAAAAGGCTCCCAGCTTGTGATGCTCAGGAAGATGGTGAGTGTGTGAGGCACAGCAATCGTGTCTAAGTCACTCCTGCATGTTTACATCTGTAACACGAGGAGAGTCATTTCACTACACAATAATATTTTAAAAACATAAATTCGAAGTCACCGTTAATAGAAAGGCAGCGCACAGGGCAGCCTGTGAGAAGATGGTTTAACATTCCTGACGTGCAGTTGGGATGGCTTAGTGGGTAATATGGGCTAATAGGATAACCTGACACATCCCAGGTCAGCTGTGCGAATCCTGCCCTGCGGACAGACTGGAACAAAATGCAGCCTGGGAATTGGCTGGTGACCAGGATCCACTTGGTTGTCTTGATATATTTTGCTGATCACCATCAAGAAGCATTTCCCACTAATCATCTCCTGTGACTGTGCAGGAAACACACTGAGATTGGTGGTCAGGTTGCTCCCCCCCCCCCCGGATTAGATGGACTTACATGGGGATACAAAATCTCAACAATACTTCCATTCTGGGAACATAAGTCTGCTTGTGTATCTTCTAACAAAGCATTACCCAGAAGCTAAGATGTGGCTCCTGTCCAGGGCCCCCCACCGCACACCCTGCCCCTTCTGGGTAGACTTCAGCCTCAGCACCACTCTGTAGGTCAGCGTTGGCCAATCTTGTCCGCCAAGGGCCGGTGTGTGTGCAGCATTTTGGGATAACCTGTAGGTCAGCTGTTCAAACCCAGGTGTGAGGACTCTTCAGCCAATCAGTCCTCTAATTAGGGAGTTGCAGTGAAGACCCGCCACACACAGCGGCCCTTTGCGGATAGCATTGGCCCCCCCTGACCTAGAGGAAAACTGATGTAGAAGATGGATGAATCCTGGGCTGGTAAAGCATTAAAACCGCCGCTTATTGTCAGGTAGTAATACATATGTGGTGCATGACATTCTTGTGTAGATGGTATTAATGTTGAGAGTAAAGACACATTAGTCTTAGTTTTCTGATTATCTTTTAATTAGAAATTTATTTCCAGCTGGGATTCACTCCCAATTCATTAATTGAGAGCTCAGCTGAAGCAATGAGTGACACTCTGATTTGTCTGGAGTTTCTTACTTCCAGATGAAGTGCAGTGTTTCTGCTGTCTGTGCTGGTATGTAGTCCCGCCTCCAGGCCCCCGCACTGTATATAATGAATAGACTTTGTTCTTGATGCAGCCTAATTTAAAATTGGTACCAGTATTAATAGGTTTCAACACAGCCGCTGACTGCTGGCTGTGAAAGACTGTGACGTGTGTGTATGAAGCATAGAAAGATTTGCTAATTTTTAAAGTTTTCTTTGATTTTCTTCCATTAATTTGTAGCGCATGTTTGTAATTAACTTAATTGGAGCCATTTTTCTGTTTTGGTGATTATGTCCTTAGCCCCGTTAATATTGAATCTGGGAAATGTCTGATGCTTAAATGAATTGCACCTTGCATCCACTCAAAGAATTCACAGAAACTTGCCAAGTTCATTCATTTACCACATGGTTGCGTTCGGTGTAGACACAGTATGTTCTAAAAATGCCAATTAACACATGTTATGAAATATGGAAAGGGACATTAGAAAAATTAATTTCTATATTTTCATTTCATATATACATACATATATCACCTTAAAGACCTGTACAGGTCCAAATGCATTCAAAATTTGCAAATAAATGAGAAAATTCTGATTTAAAACTGCAGTCTCAATGCCCAACTTGTATGTCCAACTCTGGACATAGAATCCGTTGCTATTTTTCAATGTTTTATCTCCCAAAATGAAGAGCTGTTCCTTGGTTAGGCTTAAGGGTTCCCGAATGTCATTGGTTCCTTGGTTAGGCTTAAGGGTTCCTGAATGTCATTGGTTCCTTGGTTAGGCTTAAGGGTTCCTGAATGTCATTGGTTCGGTTCACAGGTTCCAGAATGTCATTTGTTCAATGGTTAGGCTTACAAGTTTCTCAATGTTATTGGCTCATTGGCTAAGCTTACGGGTTCCTGAATGTCATTGGTTCATTGGTTAGGCTTACAGGTTCTTGAATGTCAGTAGTCAGGTTCACAGGTTCCTGAATGCCACTGGTTAGGATTACAGGTTCCTGAATGTCATTAGTCACACTATAGCAATAGAATCTCATTCTGCCCATCCCTGGCTCATTGGATCACCATAGCTAGTGCATCCAGCCATCATCCAGTACAGGACTGTGGTGATCCTGGAGCAGGGCAACACCCTCGAAAGGATGCCAGTCCATTTCAGGTCCAACTGTCACAAACTAACAATTTAGAGTTGCCATTTGACCCAGTCACATGCTTTTGGACTGCGGGGGGATCCCAGACACACGGAGAGCGTGCAAACTGCCTGCTGTCACGGAGAATGACGTGTAGAATCTTATCACCATAGCTGCCAGTAATGCTGATCCCATACAGCTTAGTCTGATCCTGGCCTTTCATAGTGTTCTAATGAATAACTAAGAACTCACTATAAACTCATTAAACTGTGTTGTTTCTTACTAATCTCCCACTGTTTGCATTTGAATTCATGTTTGTATAATAATGCATTTTAAAAACCCTCCAATGACTTTATCCTGGCATTAATATTTCATGTCTTCCTGCACTTTTCTTCATTGTGGAGAGCAAAAAAGAAAAGGAATTCACTTCAGATCTCGAGGGGATTCTAAACTTTTGCTGCTGGGGGAAAATAAACAAAGGAAAAGTTTCAGAGGTTAATATTAAATAGTTTCATTAAAATTGCCTGTTTGAAGATCGCAGTTCATACGGTAATATTAAAGACAGACTCTTGATATGGGATAAACCGTGACCCCCCCCAGGATTACTCACAGAGCAAAGGGAAGAGCAGAGTGACTCTCTGTGTGAAACAAGCGGAAGACAAAACAGTGATATGGCACAAACAAGTTCACTTTGGGTGACTCTTATTACAAGACAGTGGCCAAATGGAAAGAGAAAACATATAAGTCGCACTGCAGCGTACAGAAACACGGACTTGAACATGTAACCGTTTAATTGCTCCACATGCCATATTTATAGTAGTGCCCAACTTTGGCAAATAGTATCTTCTGTTGTTCCCCCAGCTCATGTATATTAACCATCTTAAATATCTCTGAAAATGTACAAAATGGAGATATAGACCCTCTGTGGAGCAGAACAGATCTTTTGGCTGGTTCATCAAGTGGGAGAGAAGCTCCCCTTTCTTTTTGAAAGTTCTGTTCCTTCCAATTATGAGCTGTTAAGATTTCAGCTCCACTGATTCTGTTCAATATTAAAGAGAAAAATATGTTCCCTTTTAATTATAGTTATTGGCCCATAGCCATTTTAAGAATTACATGCAACAATCATGGATATGTCAAAAATAAATAAAATAAATGACTATGTCATGATAAGAGGATTTGCAGAGATGTTCTTATATAGAATTTCCTTCTGTTTTAATATGTCTCAGAGGAAGAGGACAA